GCGGAGGGGACGCGGGGCGGTCAGCGCGGTAAGCGGCCTCCCTCTCCCCCCCCCCCTCCAACCGTCCCCCGGTCGCCTCCTCCGCCGGACGGGAGGCCTGGGGCCGCGGGGGCAGGTGGCGCTCCCTCGGCCAGGCGAGGCGGCGGCGGCGGCGGCGGAGGATCCGGAGGGCGGGGGCGTCCCTTGAGGCAGGTGGGCTGCGGGGCGGAGGGCGAGCGGGGCGGCGATGGGCAGGTCGCAACTCTCCGTCTGGGCCGAATCGGCACTGCGGGCTCCCGACCCCGCCTGCCTGCCTGCCCTCCGCGGGGTCAGGGCCTCTTGCCCGGCATCCTCCCGAACTCTTCCGCAAAGGCACCGGGAGGCTTCCGAGGTTCCCTCGCCCAGGAGGGGCCGCGGGTCTTTCTTCCGCGCAGCTCTTTCCTTCCTGCCCTCCAAAAGGCCGGCATGAAAATCCCCGGGATGGTCTCCCGTCCCAGCCGCTCCCTCCCACCGCACCCGAGGGAGGGAGGGAGGGGAATTCCCCCCCCCCCGCGTTCCCCGCAGGAGGGGCTCTGCTGCTTCTGCCCTCCCCCCCCCCCCGATGCAGAGCCCCCCTAGGGGGCTCTGGCTGGTCTGAGGCTTAGAGCAGGCTGCCAATGGGCTCCAGCCCCTCGTGAGCAGCTGGTGACCCTCCTTCAAATGACCATGGAGGCATTTGCCAAGCCAGACCAGGCCCTGATGCCCGATTGGCTGGGGACGGACTGATGGACGGACACACACACACACACACAACACACACACTCACTCCTGCCGGCCTGCTCCCTGACCTGACCTCTTTCCGGAATTCAGACACCACCATCTCTCGGGGAGGCCTGCCGGGGTCACCAGGGCAGCCAGAGAGCCAAATCGAGGTAAGAGCGGGTGTGGCAAATGTACCTGGCGTGGCTTGAGTGAACGTGGCTGGTGTGTGGGCAGCGACCTCTGCAGGGGGGAGCCTCCGCTGAACCCGCCCTCCGCAAGGCCATAAAGGCTGGGGGCAGGTAACGCAGAGCGGCCGCCCTCTTTGGCAGAGTCCGGAGGCAGCCGCAGAGACACCCTTCATGGCGATCCTCTTGGCCACCACTCGCATCGCCCAGCCTCTTGCCCGGCTGACCCTGAAAGCTCCGCACTGCAAGGATGGCGCTGCCACCGGCCTGCGGTAAGTACAGAGTGCAGGGCGCCGGACTGTAGGTGGCCCAGTTCTGTGTCCTCAGAGTCCTTTGCTCACCGTTGAAGTTTCAACGGGCCTTGAGAAAAACTGACGGGTCCTTGCAGTTGCAACCGGGATCAAAACCCGGGGCCGGCATGCGGTTATAATGGTTGCGGCATCCAACCGGGGGTCAAGAGATGGCCATTCCCAGGGGCTTCTGACAAGCAAAGTCAGTGGGGGAAGCCGGGTTCGCGTGACGACTGCATGGTCTACTTAATAACTGCCGTATCTGCTTAACAACCATGGCAGGGATGTTGTAAGATTGGGCACGATTCACTTAACTGTCTTGCTTGGCAACCAAAGTTCTGGTCCTACTAAGGCTTGTGGGTGGCATGCTGCCTATTCACCCAAAGGCTTGACTGCTGCACCTGGTGTCATTAAGGACCTGCGCATAAGGGGGAAACTGCTGCAGCCGCAGTCAGCCAGCCGGGTGGGGGTGGGTGGGGGTCCAAGCGAGCAGAATCGGCCCGTTGGTGACCCTCTGAAGTGCCCCTTGGCCTCCAACGGGGCCTCTGCAGAGCAGAGTCCGAAAGCATCTCCTCCTGCCAAAGTCCTCCAGATAGCACCAAAGGGGCCTGTGCTCACCTGAGGCCCCCCCCCCCTTCCATCCCTGGGTCAGCTGAATCGGCCCTTGAGGATTCCAGGGCGGCCGGGGGGGGGGGCTGAATTCCCCAGACAGGAAGAAGGCCATGGGTGCAAAGGTGGAACCCTCCCTCGCCCCTCCTGGGGTGGGTTGCAGTGTGTGGGTGGGTCCAAGTCAGAGCTGAAGAAGCTTCTTGGGTGAGAAGCGAAACGCCTTCAAAGCAAAACCCAAGAAAGTCCGGTTGCCTCTTGAAAAAGCCCCCCTGGGAGAACCTGCATGGCTGAGAATCTCCAGGGACTTCCGTGGCTGAAGTGGGAGGGTCCAGCCTCAGTTTACCTCTTGGTGGCCAGTTGAGGGATGGCCGACAAGTCAGCACAGCCCTTCTGACTGGGATTCTTGAGGCCGGGGTGAGGGGTGGGGGGGGGGTGAGCAGGGCCGAGGGGCTTTGGCCGAGGGGCCCTTGCGTGCTCCCCAGAGCCGAGCAGCACCAGCAAGCAGGTGGCCAGCAGGGTGAATGGTGGGGGTAGCGGGACAGATGTGTTTCAGTCGCATGGAGGGAAGCCGCCTGCAGATGGGCTGCGGCCTCTCCTGGCATATGCCTGGCTGGTACCTCTTGCCCGGGCATCCCCTGGGGTGGGGACTGGGCTGCCACTTTTGAACCTGGGGGTCCTGGAGGTGGGGGCCCTGTGGGCTTCACAGATTCTTGGAAGAGTCTGGGTCAGGAGGGGCCCAGAGAGCCGATCCCTTTCGGCCAAAGCAAGTGGGCCCAGCCTGGCTCTTCTGCTCTGGGCTTTGCAAAGCCTCCCCCGGTGGCAGCCGTGCCCTCTCTCTTGCAGATTGCTTCCCAGGGTCCAGGCCGCGGCCTCCGCCTGGAGGAGCCAGCGCTGCTACGCAACAGAGGTGGAAGAGGTGAGAGGGGTGGGTTCACCAGCCGCGGGCAGAGACGGGGTGGAGGAGCCCCACTGGGAAGGCCACGTGCCTATGGTGGGCCCCTGTGTTGGGCCCCCTGCCAAGGTCCAGGGCCAGGGCCGCATCTGGAAGGGCCTTGAGGGCCATGTTGGGGCCTTGGGACCTCCCCAACCATGGGGGTGTCCTGTTGGCCAGGCGCCCCCACGGCCGGTGTCCGTGCGATGGCCAGGGGAGAAGGGCCTGGGGAGCCCAGCCAGGGCGGTGATCAGGCCGAAGCCTCGGGATAAGAAGGCCCCCCTGAGGGGAGTTGCGGGGATGCCTTTCGCCCTGCTGAGCCTCGTGAGCAGCAAGCGGGGGGCGCTGGGGCCCTTGGCGGGGCCTTCAGCACCGGCTCTTATGCGCCCCCTTTAGATCAGCCAGCGGCCGGTGCTTATTACGGGCTGCGACTCGGGCTTTGGCTTCTCCTTGGCCAAATTCCTCCACGGGAAAGGCTTCATCATCTACGCTGGGTGCCTGCTGAAGGTAAGGCCGGGTGGGTGGGTGCAGTTCAATATCATCCGTCTCCTCTCTGCCCCCCATCCCCCCCCCGAACGCTTTGGGACACGCTGGGGGGCGCAGCTGGCTGGGATTGTGGCATTGCAGCCCAGGGCTGAGTGGCCATGCGCTCTCCTGCTCCCCTCATCCCTCTCTGGCCTTGCTCCCCTCCCCCGGCCTCGCTTCAGGCACCGCCCGGCCTGCTTTGCTTCCTGAGCCCCTCCGAAGGCCCGGGAGCCGGTTGGGTCCCAGAGGAATCGCCTGGGGGGGGGGGGGCTCTGCCTTCCTCCAGATGATCCCAAGTGGAGGCTCCTCCCATCCCCCCAGAGACCTCAGTCGGGCGAGTATGGGGGGTCTTCCTTTCGGTTGACCAGGCCCTGGGAAGGTAGAAAAGTCCTCCAGGATCAGAGGATGCTGCCCACGGTGGCTGGGCAGCAGCAGGAGCCCCCGGGCAGGAGTTCCACCGTCAGACCGGCCCCTACAGAGGGCTGGAGACGGTCCCCCTCCTGGCGAGAGAGAATGGAAGGCCCCCAAGCAGAGCCCTGCCGGGGTTCCCTCCTACCTGAGCTGGGCTGGGGCCCTTCTGATGACCGTCCCGGTGGGCCGTGGGTGTCCTGGTCCTTCCTGTTGGGCGAAGGGTCCTCGTGTGTGCAGATGGCCTGGTGTTGGGTGGGCTAGTTAATAGCCTCTGGAAGGAAAACGGCATTCGCAGCCACCTCAAGAGCTTGTGGAAATGGGCCAAGGGCCAAGAGAGAGAAGTTCAACAGGTGCAGCCTTCTTACTTAGGATGCAGAAACACTGAAACCCTCCGGGTGATCTGATTGCAAAAAAGCGGATGGAGCTTTTGCGAGAGAAGTTGGGCAGCCAAATCACAGGGGAGCTGCTGTTCCCCCACATCCTGCTCTGGCCAGGAGCGTCCTGGAAAGGGGGTCAGGGCCTGCTTGCCCTCCGTCCAGGGTGCAGGAGACGGAATTCGGTTGCACAAAGTCCTCAGTGGCAGCCCCCCCCCCAGAATGCGCAGGCTCCCCCCGGCTGGAGGTGGGCCCCTCTCAATCCCCCCCACCCCCCCTGCTCCTCCTGCCTTGAGCCAGGACTACTGAGCCCTTCCCTGGAGCCCTGGGCGTTTCTCCCCAGCCGGAGGGCAGGCTCTGGAGGCGGCAGGGAGCAGGCAAAGGCCTTGGCTCCCCAGGACCTGCAGCCCCCCCCCCCCCCCCTGCTGGCCATGGCTCTTCTGCCAGGCTGCAGCTTCAGGAATGGCAGAGAATGTCCTCATTGTCCGTGGCTGCTGTGCTGGGAGGTTTCGGCAGGGCTCGGTTCTCCAAGCTTGCCGTTTACATGCAGCGTAATTTTATGGTTGAATCCCAGCCCTGGATTCATCTGATGGGCCTTGGGAGAAGCAGACCGTGGTGTGTGAGGCTCCAGAGTGGCAAATTCCCCAGAAGTTGCTCTGGCGTGACACGCATGAAGTCCTGGACATGGAGAACCGCCGGGGAAGCCCTTCTTCGCCCAAAGCGGGTGCAGAAATGGCTGGGAATCAGCAGGGCAGCTTTTGGGTGGAGATGCTGCACCTGCTGACGGGGCCTTGCGAGCCAGAGCCCCCAGAGAGACGGACCCTTCATGTGATTGCGTGACGCCCTTCCACGGGGCGGGCTGGTGGCTGTGGCCGTCTCCCCTTGTGGGGGAGCAGAGGCCCACGCTGCCTCTCCTGTGTCGCTTTTCGCCAGGAACAAGGCCGGGGGGGCTCCAAGGACCTGGACAACATGAAGAGTGACCGAATGAGGACGGTCCAGCTCAACGTCTGTGACAGCGAGGAGGTGGCCCGTGCGGTGGACTACGTGACCAGCACCCTGAAGGACCCGGAGACCGGAGGTGAAGGGAGGGGAAAGGCTGGGGAGCCCGGGAGTCACGGGAGGGAGGGAGGGGAAAGCTTAGGGAGCCATTTCCCTCCCCTCTCAGCCGGGCTCAGTCTCCACAGAAGGCCAGCGGTTGCCCTGAGTCCCAGCTTGAGCGCAGCTGCCCCTCCTCTTCCTCTCCCCCTTCCAGCGTGCTCCTAATGCAGGCAGCGGGGAAGGGAGGGGGTGCCTGGAGAAGTAACCGGGGAGTTACCAAACGTTCTGTTGTGGCTTCTGGATTCCAGGATGACTTTCTAGTATGGAGGAGACAGCAGAGCCCCCACAGAAGGCAAGAAATAATCCAGGAAGCTGCAGGATGCGGAAGCTTTGATGCTTTATGCTGACCTGGAGCTTCTTGGCTCCTATTTCATAGTCCAAAATGTTGCTTTTTCCCCGTCTGGTCAAAGGTTTCGGTTATGGTTTAGGAGAGCATTTTGGGAGGGGTCCCTGTGCTTGAGCAGCTTCTGAAAGTCTTGGCCGGCTTTTGCTCCTTTTACCCATCGGTCATCCTTTGAAACACCACCACCACCCCCGGTCATAGTCTTTGCACAGGATTGTTTAAGGGCAGCCCAATGCGCTGCAGGGCAGAGCAAGAAGCATGGCTGGTGCAGCTGCTGCTCCTGACTCACAACCCTTGTGTGGAAAGGAAGCCACAAACAACTCGTAAGAGAGGCTTTTCTTTGAATGAAGGGGTGCAGCAAATGGGAAATATGGCTGGCTTCGAACCCCAGACAAGCCCTCGTGATCCAGATGTTTTGGATCAGGAGCCCAGAAAGTTTTACTGTTATGGCAGCTTTGGCCAACATCCCCCTGAGTTCTCCCCTCCTGCCCCCCCCCCCCGGTTCTCCCAGGACGAGCAGTGGAGGATTCTGGGAGGAGGGTCTTTGGGGTTACGACGGGAGGCCATCTCTGTAGCTCAGAGTTGCACTGGGGAATGGTCAGCACTAGTGACCGTGTGTGCTGTGCTCCCTGTCCTCGTGCAGCCGCTTGCCCTGACAGGGCTGGTGGGGATGGTGGCCAGAAAACCATCCGAATGGAATGGAATTCTTTCATTGGCCAAGAGTGGTTGGACACACAAGGAATTTGTCTTTGGTGCTGAGATGCTCTCAGTGGACATAAAGGAAAATGAAATAGAATACATTCACCAAGGGGTATATAGTCACAGGTTACTAATAAGCAATCAAATTATACTAGAAAACAAATAAAACTTATCAATTTTAAAGATAGAAGCAACGTGGTTATAGGCATAAGTGGAAAAGGGAGAGGTACGAGGAAGGAAGAAAAGAATAATAGTAATATAGTCTTAGTGGATAACTTGACAGTGTTGTGGGGATTATTTGTTTAGCAGAGTGATGGCAACTGTCCTTGTGTCCAGTTGTTCTGCTGTGCAGTGCCCTAAAGCCTCGTTTTGAGGGCAGAAGCTGAAACAATTGATGTCCAGGATGCCAGGGGTCAGTAGATACTTTCACAGCCCTCTTTTTGGTGCATTATACAGGTCCTCGATGGGAGGCAGGTTGGTAGCAATTGTTTTTTCTGCAGTTGTAATTATATCGGTTGAAGTCTGTGCCTGTCTTGTTTGGTTGCGGAGCCAAACCGGACAGTTATAGAGGTGCACATGAGAGACTCAGTAATTCCTCTGTGGAACTGGATCAGCAGCTCCTTGGGCACTTTGAGCTTCCTGAGTTGGCACGGAAAGAAAATTCTTCGTTGTGCTCCTTTTTCGATGACGTTTTTGATGTTGGGTGTCCATTTTAAGTCTTGAGATGTGAGAGAGCCTAGAAACTTGAAGGCCTCTCCTGTTGATGCTGTGTTGCCTAGGATTGTAAGAGGAGGTGGGAGTTATGGGAGGGTTTCTCCTAAAATCCACCACCGTTTCTATGGTTTTGATTGAATTTAGTTCAAGATTGTTCTGGTTGCACCCCAAGGCTCGTTGTTCAACCTCCCATCTGTGTGCCGGTTCATCATTCTCTCGAATGAGACCAATCGCTGTTGCATCACCTGCAAACTTCAGTATTTTAGCAGAAGGATCTTTTGAGATGCAGCCATGGGTGTATAGAGAAGAGGGGAGAGCACACAGCCTTGGGGGGCTCCTGTGCTAATTGTGCAGGTACCTGATGTGATTTAGCTCCACCTGCCGCTTCCTGTCTGTTACGATCCATTTACACGGGTGAACAGGGATCGCCAGCTGACTTAGTGTAGGTAGAAGAACGTCTGGAACGATGGTATTGAATCCTGAGGTGAAGTCTACCAAGAGGACCCTTGCGTGGGTCTCTGGAGACTCAAGACGTTGTCGGATGTGGTGCAGAGCCATATTAACAGCATCACCTGTCGGTCTATTTGCTTGGTATGCAAATTGCAGGGGCCTCCGGCCGTAACCAAGGACCCATCCCTGGCCTCTGAGGCAAGGATAACTTCGGGCTCCCCTCCTGGGCCATTTCCTTTGTCCCGGGAGCATCCTTGTGACACCAGAAGCCCTTTGCGAGTAATAGGTGCGGTGGGCGGAAGGTGTCGTCCTGCTGAGCCACTTTTTCCTTCCTTCTCTGCCGGCATGGAAGCAGCTGCGTTTCCTGCTTAGTCTCCGCCTTCTGCTGTGTTTGGAGCCACAGATCCTTTGGAGGAGCCAGCAGCCTGATATTTCCTCAGATCTCTTGCTGGATCTTTGGACCAGTAGATCTCTGACAGTCCCTTGGCCCCACGAAGGAAAGAAGGGATTTGAGGGGCCCTTCCTGCTTCTCTCCCATGGGTTGCAGGACGCCGCTGTGGCTGGCACTGTGCCCTACAAGCTGGCTGATGGGTAATGGCTTTATAGAGAAGCTAATTAACAAAATGGGGCAGGATCGTTCCTGATGGGACCCCACCCCTCGGGGCTCCAGCACCAGCCTCTCCTAGGGGGCCCGGTGCCAGACGGAGCCAGGCAAGTCCCGGACAGCCTCCTCCTCCTCCTCTTCATCCTTCGCAGGAGCCCCATAATCTGAACCCCAAGGCTAAGATGACCGCTTCTTTTGCTTCCTGTCCAGGGCTCTGGGGTCTGGTCAACAACGCTGGCATTTCCACCTTTGGAGAGGTGGAATTCACCAGCATGGACACTTACAAAGAGGTGGCCGAAGTGAATCTCTGGGGCACCATCCGCACCACCAAGGCCTTCCTGCCCTTGATACGGAGAGCTAAAGGTAAGTGGAGTCCGGTCTTCCCCCCCCGCCTGGGACGCGGGGACGCAGAGCCCCATCGCAGCCAGAGGGAGGTTGGGCTCCCGGCAGGGCTGCGTCCCCTGAGCCAGGCTGGGCGGCCGCATCCGAAGGGGCCCGGATCCCTTGGGGGGCAGCTGCTCCCTTCATGGTGCCTTTGCCCCGGCAGGCCGCGTGGTCAACATTAGCAGCATGATGGGCCGGATGGCCAACCCCGCCCGCTCCCCTTACTGCATCACCAAGTTTGGGGTGGAGGCCTTCTCCGACTGCCTGCGCTACGAGATGCGTCCGCACGACGTGAAGGTCTGCATTGTGGAGCCGGGCAACTTCATCGCCGGCACCAGCCTCTACAGCCCCGAGCGCATCCAGTCCATCGCGGACAAGATGTGGGACGAGCTGCCGGAGATCGTGCGCCGCGACTATGGGCGCAAGTACTTTGACGAGCAGATCGCCAAGATGGAATCGTACTGCAGCAGTGGCTCCTCAGACACCTCCCCGGTGGTCGAGAGCATCGGCCACGCCCTCTCCTCCACCACGCCCTACACCCGCTACCACCCCATGGACTACTACTGGTGGCTGCGCATGCAGGTCATGACCCACATGCCCGCGGCCATTTCCGACCGCCTCTACATCTACTGAGGGCGGGGGGGGGTCCCGCTGGAGCCGAACCGGCGAGGGACGGTCACGCTAAAAGTTACGGTGTACAGTTCTCCGGCAGCCGCTCGGTTAGTTCGTTTTTCAACCCCGTATTTTAGGCCTGTGATTAATTTAAAGATTGGGACGTAATGTGAGCCCTTGCATGGTGTGTCGGGTGGGCAGGACTGCCTCACGTCTTTCAGGGGGACTCCGATGGGGGGGAGGCGGGTATTTCAAGCATCCCCTTCTTTGCCAAGCTTGCATTGGCCGTAGGGGACCTGGGCCACCTCCTTCCTTCGTCCCCTCCTGGAGAAGGGCTGCCTGAGCAGCCTGGGGCTCGTCCTTGCTGGGGCGGGCAGCTGGCCTCCAGAGTCCTTTGCGGTGGCCACGCTGGGGGGCTGGGGGGAAGGTCCACAGCAGCCAGGGGCCAGTTGTCCACTCCTGTCTTTGCACACTCCTTTCCAGGGGGCGCCATGGACCAAGCGCCACCAAGCCCCTCTCCCTGCTGGTGGGGCTTTGGCCGCAGGCTCACTCCCTTTGGGGGTTCTGCCAAGGCGCAGAGCCCCCCCTGTAAGGGAGGGGGAAGCCTGGCTTTAGTCAGGGGCCCCCTAGGCCAGGCTCTTTGCACTAGGGCCCCGGTGCTGACGGGTGGCGGGGAATCACAGGGCAGGAGGGAGGCCGCCTCCCATCTGCCCCAGCAGCACAAGCCACCCGCAGCTCGGGAGCCTCCGTGGATCACTCCAATTTGACCGTGAAGGTCTTTTTCCTCTTGGCACTTAAAATGCCCCCTCCAGCAGGTCAGGCTGAGCGCGGTGCCTGCCCCAGTCCGGACCCCCAAGGTCTCTTCTGCCCATCAATCCCTGACCACGGCTGCTGCCCCTCCAGGACCGTCTGGCCGGGGGCATCGGGAAGACCTGGCAGAGATTTGGCACACCCGTCTGTCACCGGGGGGGGTTGTGTTCCTCGGGGGGGGGGGGGGCAGTCCTGTGGCTGGCAGCGGAGGAGGACAAGAGAGCATCCCCCCCCCCCAACCAGCAAGTGGGAGGGGCTGAGATCGGATGTCGCCTCTTTCCATGAACATTAAACCATGTGACCAGCCTGCCTGCATCACTGGCCTTTTTCCTTGACCAGAGGAGACCAGGTGCCCCGTGCCGGAGGTGGAGGTGAGGGCGAGAGGTGCTCCTCCTGCTTGCCCCGGGGCCTCCCTCGGAGGCTAAGCAGGAAGGCAGCCGGGCACCAGGACCCAGTGGCGCCATCTTGGGCCGGTCTCTGTCCTAGAACTGGGCTGGGCTGGGGGGGCTTGGTCTGCGGTCTTTCCACCCTCAGACATGTGAGGCGGGCTTTCCTCTCCCCACTGCAGCACTTTCGGGGGGCAAACCCCCCCCGCCATGCCTGCACCTCCAAGAAAGGGCATAGGAGATTTTCCTTAGCTTTTTGGCTGGGCCCCTCCCTCCGTGGAAGACTCCCCCTCCCTCCAGAAAGAACCTGCAGCCCCAGAAGCTGATGAAAAGGTCTTATTCCTTTGGGCCCATCTCCCGTTTATATGTTACACTGTATTTTCATACTGCATTGCTCCAGGGCCTGTGGAGGGGGGGGGGGGGATAAATGATCCTGTAGGGCGTGGAATCCTCCCTCCCCCTCCCTTCCATGCTCACCTGCTTCTGCAGCTGCCCAGGCCCTTCCTGGAATGGAAGAGGCCAAGTCCCAAGCCCTTTGGTATAACTTAAGAGCCCCTTCCTGAAATTCATTGCAGGCCCAGCTGAGTCCCGTTCCCCCCCCCTCCCCCGGCAGACCCCTCTTGGCTCACAACCTCTGCAGGAATGGCTGTTCTCCCCCCTCCCCCAGGTCCCTCCCTGTGGCTGAAGGATGAGGCCTGGGTGGTGGTCCAGGGTTGCCCCCAAGGAATGGCTGCTCTCTCTCCAGCTACGCGGAGACACCTGACTGCAGGTGCTTTGAGGAAGGGTCACTTCCCAGCCATGCTCCATCTCTGGGTTGCATGTGGGTGGGCCCCAGTCTTGGGTTCCCCCCACCTCCATTCTTTGGTGTTACAAGCTGCTTGCCGGTATCTGGCAACATTGCACTGGCTGAGTTCACACATGACGCCTAAGCAGGAAAAGACCCGGCAGCTGCACGCAGTGGCCATGCTGAGAAGACTGACTAGCCTTCATCTCTCCTTCATCTCTGGATTGCACAAATCCTAGTTTTCCCTTTATGGATTGTGAAACCCCAGAAAACGGGTTGTCAGAATGCGACTTCTGATTTGCACGTTTCCAGGATTGTAAATTGGGGGTCCTGACTTGGGGGTCCTGACCCACACTTGGATCCCTCTGACTGCTGATTCTTGCTCTAGGCAGAGCTAAGAGGACAAGAGGCGTTTAAGACGGTAAATTTAAGATGTAAAGAAGATTGAAAACCATTTCTTTGTATCGTCTACTTTCCTTTTACTTTCTCCCCACTTGCTTGCGCATTTCGTTTTCTCTCTGGTTTTTCTTTTCTCATTTTATATTAGTTTTTATTGGTTTTTAATCTTCCTTCTGAAACTTTTAATAAAATTATGAAGTTTGTGCACCAGTCGCAGCCTTTCCTGGATCATGACTCCCTGCACTCAGTTATCCAAGCCCTCGTCACTCTCCTGGGGACTACTGAGATGCGCCCTGCACGGGGGCTACCCTTGAAACCCATCCGGAAGCTTCCGCTGGCGCAAGTGGGGCCGTGAGCGCAGTCTTTGGGCCCCCTCGGATGGCTTGCACTCTTCCTCTGCTCTGCAAGGGCTCCTGAAATGAATCTGGTGGAGCCGCGCAAAAGCCCCGGTCTTCCTCTTGCTGCCCACAGCCCCCCTTCCCTCTGCCTCGCCTGCCTGGAGGTGTTGCAGGCAGGGAAACGGCTTTTTCTATCTTGTCCACCAAATGGGCGTTTTCTTCCCCGTTTCCCCCTTGGGTGCCATGATGAGGAGCTTCGTTTCAGGGCGGGGGCCTCCGGATCTTTAATGGGAGAAAGATGTTGAGTGTGGCTGGAGGGGGGTGCAGGCTCCTTGGAGAGAGCGGGGCGTCTGTCTGCTTCACCATCCAGGTGACTCCCCTGCCTTGCAAGGCAGCCTGGCTTCCCAACATGAGCAAACCACACCAGGAGGAGCGGATGCCTTGCACCGAGCTTACCCACCCGGCAGCAAAGGGGCTGCAGAGCCTTGGGGCTGCGGCTGCCTTGGCCCGGTGTGCCCTCGGGGATGGAAGGAGCTGGATTGCTGGGGACTCTGGGGGGCTCCTTGGCTGCAGCTGAGGAGACAAGCTCGGCTCTACGAAGGACCTGCCACCGTGACAGGGCAAAGGCTGGACACAGGCATCTCCACGCCCAGGCAGCCTGGGGGTTGGGTGGGGGAGGGACCTCCAGTACAAAAGCTGCTTGTTTCTGGTGCCGTCGGGCCCCACATGGCAGAGCTTGGGGCCTCCAGGCCGTGCAGACACTGCCAGATGAATTGGGCTTTGTGAGAAGACAGCAAGCCCATCACGGCAGGGAGGTGCTGTCTCCAGAGCCCCCTGGGTGCTGGCCAGGAGGGCCTCCCTGCCCTCCATTCCCTAGAGAGCCAGAGGGACAGGGACAAGGAGGAGCTGCTTCCTCCCACCCACCCACCCCCCTATCAGCCTGCAGCCTCCAGCACCGGCAGCCTGAGGACTGGGAGAGACCAGGGAGCAATGCCCTCTTAACTCCCTTCCCTCTGCTGCTGTGGGTTGAAACACGGCATTTCTCTCCTTCATTGCATTCTTTGACAAAGGGACAAAATCGGTGGACCAGAGGAATGCCGTCCATATAGTTTGCTTGGACTTCAGTAAGGCATTTGAAGAGGTAGACCATAACCTACTACCAGATAAAGTAGAAGAATGTGGGTTGGACAGCATCACCACCAGATGGATTCGTAACCGGCTGACCAACCGCACTCAACGTGTCATCCTCAATGGAACTGCATCTACATGGAGGGAGGGATGCAATGGGAGACCCCAAGGCTCTGTTTTGGGCCCAGGACTCTTCAACATCTTCATCGATGAGCTGGATGAGGGGATAAATGGGGAACTCATCAAATTTGCAGATGACACCAAGTTGTCAGGAATAGCCAACACTCCAGAAGACTTAAGGCTCAAGATACAGAAGGATCTTGACAAACTTGAACATTGGATACTATCTAATAAAATGAAATTCAGTGCTGAAAAGAGTCAGGTTCTACATTTAGGCAACACAAACG